GTGGCACAGGAGAGCTGTCAGGCCACCGCTGACCACTGGGGATGGCACCAGAGTGGAGAGCCAGGGCCCTGCCTGGGCACAGGGCTGTCCACAGCCTGGCCCTGGAGCCACCCTGGGGCCACGCTTCTCCCTTCCCTCACATATCTCACCTCTCGGTTAACTGTGACTAGAGGCTCTGTTTCCTTGTCTCCGTCAACCTCACCCTTCTAGAAAGTGAGCTTTACCACAGGTACACACAGGTGGGACCAAGTGGCATCTGAGTAGGGCCCATACGGTCACGGATTCAGGCGTCCCCTGGAGGCCTTGGAAGCATGGCCTGGAGACCAGGTGACCACTGAGTACTGTGGACAAGTGCAAGGAAGGACAGGGACAGAAGGGCCGAGAGGGAGGAGCTGGGGTTGTCCCCGGGACCTCGGTGCCCGCGCCGTGCTCTTCATGGAGATGGATCTGAGCAGAGTGGGTGTTGCAAACTCAACATGATCACTAAAATCAAAACCAGAGTCTGAATCCATCAATACTTGAAGACCCAGTTGTGCCCGTCTCCACTGCCAAGGGCCCGGGCTGGGGCTGGAGGCTCCTGAGCAGAGGGGAGGGTGGTAAAGACCAGGAGCCAGAATCCCAGCTCTGAAGACCCAGGATCGATAGACGCAATGCCACTAAGACACAAGTGCCGTGACAAGGGGGCCCTTCATCTCACTTCTCCCTCCCAGGGCTTCTGACCATCAACCCGAGGACAACACTGACACCCCTGCTGGACGAGCCACTTGGCCGTCCCCGTGCTCATCCAGAGCAGGAGGAAAATGATTCCACTTGTATATTTATCCTACACCAACTCAAGTCATAATGGTGATGGGAGGAACAGCAGCAGAGCAGATGGGGGGGGAGCCAAAGGGGAGGGTGATGAGACCCACCAGATCATGGCACATGCCTAAAAGCATGGTGTCACGAGTGCCACTGTCATGCACAGTCATAATGCACCAAGAACTAAACAAAAACACAAGGAGTGTCAGGACCTGTCCTGGCCCAGAGGGACGTAAGACATGACCACGTGCCATAGGGCTGCCACAAAGGGACAACTTCCACGTGCCACAGGGGCGCTACAAGGGGACAACTTCAAAGAGAAACAAGAAAACAGTGGTAACCAAAGTCCTGTCTGAATCGCCAAATGGAAAGAAAGCTGCCATCAGCCAGAGGTGGGAGATTACCCCAGGTGGCCCAGGCTACGGTGCAAATGAGGCACTTGTGGGGGGGCTCTGGTGGCTCCAGGGACCCCGTAACACACAGTGACCCAGACCTCACAGGAGAGCGCAGAAGACAAAGCCACATGCTGCAGGTCCCTCGCAAAGACCCCACGTCCCAATGAGAAGCAGAGCCTCAGGTGGCATCTGAATGTGACCTGAGGATACGTGTTTTAGAAGGGAAACTGGCACAGACTGGCATGGAGGCTACACAGAGGGTGGGTGGGAAGGAGCCAAAGGCCCATCACCAGAGGCGGGGAGCAGCCAGAGACCGGCAGACTTCCTCCCCTCCTCTGCCCACACCAGCTTCCTGGGAGCATCGTCACGCCTGGGGAGCTCAAAGACCAAGGCCTCAGCGGGCTGCTCTGGGACCCAGGATTGCAGGACAGGAGTGGGACACTGCGTGGAGGTGAATGGGAACCCGGCCCATTCTGGGGGGGTCAGCCCGGGGTCCCCTTCACCTCTGTTCCACCCACGCATGCCTAGAGGCCATGAAGGAGGGTCCCAGGCTGGGGCCTGGGGGATGTAGGACAGGAGGAGGGCGTGCCCTGGACAGGGCAAGAGCGGAAGTCCAGGCACACTGCCCTGGTCACTCAGGCCACTCTCCTCTAGCCTTGCAGGTGACAGTGGATAGCAGCAGTGTTCAAGGGACTGGCTGCAGGTCAGGGTGTCACCCACCCCAGCATACCACCCGCGTGGGACCTGAGCTCACTGCACACTGACCTGAGGGGAAGGTGACCCAGGCAGCCTCAGCACAGAGTAAGAGAGCTCCCTGGGTAAATGGGAGCCCCCAATACCTTCAGAATCATCACCCACTCAGAGAACGCAGGGACATGGGACACCATCAACCTCTGCTGTAGTCAGAGGCTTGCAGATCAGGAACCGCTCACACATGTCACACTGGTTACCAAAAATACTGGTGATGCTCTTTGCTGGTAACCAAAGAGACACTGAGAGTGTCTCCTTGACAGTGAGAACATACCCCGGAGCCACTTGGTCAACAACATGAAAGCAGCTTCAAGACTCATGGAAGGATTGATCTTTCTGATGCCAGAACTCACTTTTTATATTTTGACTTGGAAAAGAATTGATACACAAAAAAGTAAGAAAAAAAGCCACAAGCACAGAGACATTGAAAACATGGATATCTGTCCATCTATTATCTGTCAAATATTATAGAAAGGTATAAAATATATTAAAGTACATATGTAGTATATAAATATGTCTCAAAATACATGTACATATAAATAAAGTATCTGCACACGTGCCTAAGTGTGTAACACTGATGCACAAAGGAGCCCAGACCACCTGGTGCAAATGGTAAGGTGAGCTGTAACGTGCACCCCACGGTGTGGAGTGTAGACGGGTAGAAATGGCCGTGAGCACTGGGCCTAGGGGCAGTGATGGCACTATGGGTGATATAGGGCAGTGGCCGTGGCCCTGCAGCACTTGGCCTGGTGAGTGCAGCCTGGAGCCTCTGCTGCCGTGTCCCTCCCTCGTCCACTCCCAGCACTGGGATGGAGGCTGCGAATGCACTGGGTACCCAGGAGATGCTGAGTGTGTGTGTGAGCCCCAGCCTCGCCCTTCACCCTGTGCTTCCTTAGTAGAGACCCCACTACTCACAGATCTCCAAGGCCACACTCCACTCAAGGACACTGTGGTTTTATTGCATGAAAATCACAACATATTTCAGTACTCAGAGGCCACCATCGTCTCTCCTGCGAGAACTGCTTTAAACACACAGTTCTTGCTGATTTTTTAAGAGGACCACACCGAGTACAGATGGTAAGGTGGGCGGAGGCCAAGGCGCCCAGCCTATAAGCAAAGCCCAGACTCTGCCTGGACACAAAGTCTCACAGGCCCAGGGAGCCGCCAAGAGCTGAGGAGCGAGGAGCAAGGACCCCTGTGGAAACCACAGCTCCTAGCACTGAATCTGATCCAGTGTCTGCCGAGGGACCTGGTGTCTAACTTGTGGGTGCTGGCGGCAGGCCAGGGGCTGGCCAGGCCTTACTACTGGTCTGGTTTCAGAAATCACAAGAGACCTGAGCGGTGGCCCCACACACTGGGTCTCACAGTGACCTCAGCCTGTGTCACCTGGGTTCACGCTATGGCCCGGCCAGAGGGTGTGGTCACAGTGGGCTCAGCTGGCTGGTGCACTGGGGACTAGCCTGGACATAACAGAGGCTGGTCCTATGGATACACGACTTTGCCTGACGGGGACAGGTGCCCTCCCCATGAGCAGGCCAGCTGTGGAGAGGCCAGCTGTGGAGAGGCGCCAGCAGCTGGGTTGCAGCTCAGGAGAGCACTTGGGGTACTTCCCAGGGTGCGCAGGGCCCAGGGCCAGATCCCAGCACAACAACAACAAAAAAAGTAATTTGTTGTTAAAAAAAAAAAGGCTCTAGATGACGGTGGAAAAGTCCACAGAAGCACATCAAGTCCAGCGCTGGGCAGGGCAGGAGGGGTGAGGGCCATGACATCGGGTCACAGTGTAAAGTGGAGGCTTCCAGTATCAAAACCAGGTGGACCTGGCTGTGCACTTCACGCCACGCTCAGGCCTGGGTCACAGTGCGGCTGCTCGTGGCCCATGTCAGATGTCCATGGTGTCCCCTCTGCGATCCAGGGCCGAGCACTCAGGAGTGGTCACAGTGGTCCCCCCTCCCCAGGGACCGAGCTGAGTCCACCTACAGGTGCCAGGCAAAGGACTGCCAGGCCCTGCTGGGTCCCCCCTTAGGAGCAGGCAGCCTCCATGCAACGTGGCCACCTTGGTAGGACAGGGGTCACTGTGCTGCCAGTGTCAGTCTGCTTCCTAGACACGAAGGAGAAATTGTGGGTCCCTCCCTGGGGACAGAGACATGAGGACACAGGAAATACAGCAGGAGGCGGTCGGCTCTGTCGGGGCCGATGGGCAGGAAAGAAGGCTTCCTCCAGGAAAGGGCATCTTCAGGCTGACCTGAGTCCAGAGAGGTAGCACTCTCGGGCGTGGGCAATGTCTCTGACAGCCCAAATCCCAGGCAGCTGGGCTGTGCCTTTTCCAAGGGTGGAGGACCAGTGTGGGCACACCTGCCAGGGCGGCATGACTCCAGCCCAAGTCCCCAGAATGGGTGGAGACCCCAGAGCTGACCACTTGGCAAGGGCTGGCCTCAGTGCTGTGACCCTGAAGGAGACCGTGCACCCTAGCTGGGGCTGGCTCTGGGAGCTGTGTGGGTGGAGTTAGCAGACCAGGGACACCCCACCCTGTTCCCCACGCTCCTCGGACATTCTGGCTGATCCTCCAGGGGTGCACAGGGACCTAAACTACCCCCGCAGGACTCCTCTGGGCCCCTATCAAGGCAGAGGCAACCCCCTCCTGAGCGACAGCCTGTGCCCCACGTGCCACGGCTTTACTGGGTGCATGTGGTGAGGAGGGAGGCTCATGATGGGTGTCACAGTGGGCCACCATGCACTCCAGTGTCCTCAGGGGGCAGCCAGCCCTCGGGTGCATGGGGCAGGATCCAGTGTCCTCAGGGGCAGCCAGCCCTCGGGTGCATGGGGCAGGATCCAGTGTCCTCAGGGGCAGCCAGCCCTCGGGTGCGCCAGGCAGGAGGGCCCCGGGGTCTCTAGCCACGCAGCCCTGGGTGTCAGGCTGCAGGAGCTGGTGGGTGCTCTTCCGTAGGGTCACAGGTGGAGGCTGCGACCTCATGTCCAGGCAGCAGGGAGAGGGTCCCACGTGGGTAGGGTACTCATTCTGCTCTGCTCTGGGAGGTAGTCATCACCAGCTCCTGCTCACACGGTGGACAGGTCCACACGGGGGGCAGAGTGGCTGCTCTTATCCCAGGGGCTGAGCTTGGTGGAGCCTGTGCCAGGCCTGGTCCCATTCATCTGCAGGCCACAAGCAAGTGAGGAGTGGGAGCTGGGCCCTAGAGGAAGCCCAGACCCCATGCGGGCATGGACGCCCAGAGGCAGGAAGCCGCAGGGGTCCACTGCGGGGGCAGAGGCACAGGGCCCCCCTGCTCCCCTGAGAAACAAGGGCCTGAACAAGAGAACCCAGACCAGAGCAGCCGCACAGTCCCCTCCCAAGTCCAGGTGTGTCCACCCTCTGCTCTTGTGTCTGTACAGCTATGCTCTCGTTTTCCCTTTCTTCACGGAGCCCCAGGGCCAGGTCCTGTATGGGCTGTGGGGTCAGAGGGGCCAACAGAGGTAGCCAGCTCCTTGCTCCCATAGCGTAGTGTTCCAAAGGGGCCAGACAACGGGCAGAATGGCCAGCAATCGCGCACAAGGGCGGAAGCATGGGGATGGGTGGGGCACCCTCACGTGAAGTCCAGGAAGGAGTCACCTCGGCAAGGACCCATAGGGTAGGTGGGAGGAGCCCAGCCCAGCATCTGCTCCAGCTGCCCAGTGGGGCAGAGCTCAGGGAAGGAGAGCCGTCTCCGGTGGGCAAGGTAACCACAGAGCAAGGGCCCATTCCAGCAGGCTCAGCAGGGAGAGGGGACCCAAAATGGGGACCACACAGCACTTACGAGGTCTGAACTAAGGGGCTTCGTGTTGGCACTGCGGGCGGAGCTGCTCACCAGGGACCAGACCTTGGTTTTGTGCTTGAAGGCGGCTCTCACCTTGAAGGAGATGGACAGGAGAGGCCAGTTAGGACACTTCAGAGGCTGGAGAAGCAAAGCCAGAGGTGCCATCAACAGTGCCCAGGTGGCTCCCGCAACACCCAAGGCAAGTAAGGACCCAGATAGGCAGGATTGGTTGTTATCAGTGTCGACACCTGCGAGCTGGTCATCAACTGGCTGGCTAAGGGTGGCATGGCCAGGCTCCAGTCGGCAGGGCAAGGCTGTCCCGCACGCTAGGCCCCTTTAGAAAGGAGAGCTCCCGCATGGTGGGGAGGTGGGGCGGTGGGAGGTGGTGGGGTGTTGGGGTGGGAGGGTGGGGGGGTGTTGGGGTGGGAGGGTGGGGCAGTACAGCAGTAGGGAGGTGGGGGGATGGGGATGTGGGGAGGTGGGGGGATGGGGAGGTGGGGAAGTGGGGAGGTGGGGAAATGGGGAGTGAGGAGGTGGGGGTGAGGAGGTTGGAGGGTGGGGGATGGGGAGGTGGGGCAGACATACCTCTGAGTTCAGCAGGCAGTGGAAGAGGAAGATGAAGAGGCCCTGGAGGAGGGAGGAGCAGAGTTAGAGTCACCTGCATTTGTCACCCACAAGGAGCTCCAAGGACTCTTCCCTCACATAGCCCTGGGGTGGCACTGACACCTCACCTGGGGACTTGCTGCCACACTGTTCCACATGGGGAGGGGCTCCTAGACCCCTCCTGTAACCCTGCCTAGAGCCCAGAAGCTGCTGTGACAGAATCCAGAGGGGGCTGTCCTGCTTGCCAAAGGTGCAGAGACAGGTGGATGCCCAGAAAGGCTTGACTCGGGGAGGGGTGACAATCCTGGGCTGGACATTGGCCTGACACCCAGAAACCACAGACTCCCACCCCAATGGAACCTCGGGTGCTTGCCTGCAGACCAGGGAGGATGATGACAGTGAAAGTAAAGGACATCACCAAGCACCCAGACCTGCCAGCCAGCACCAGCAGACCCTCACGGAGAGGTCCCGCTTGGTGCAGGAGCACCTTAGGGCATCCTGCTGTGGCCTTGCTCCTTGGGAAGGACACTGGAGAAGATGGCAGAGGGTGAAGGAGGTCCTGGAGGGCACGTGGGCTGGAGGGGCTGCCTGCCACCCTGCCCTGTAAGCCACGTGAGGAAAACTGAATGCTCACGGCAACAAGGAGTTGGACACCAGCTGCCTCTGGCCATGGGGCACCCCCACACTATGGGCACCTGCTCAGGGGCATTGTGGGAACTGGGCCGTGCTGGTGAAGGGAACCTGCACCTGCCCTCCCTGGGGATGAGTGGGTCTGATGGCTTAGACTCTAGGTGTCCCACGTCTGTTTCTGAGGATGGGCCCCCTGCCTCCCCTTCCCACAGATGACATAACCCCATCGCCTCCTCTCCCTGCCTGCCTCCCTCCCCAGAGCTGCTGGCAGACTGACCCTCTTCCCTTTCAGGCCAGATGTGCCGCCATAGATGCTGCCCGAGCACAGGCGCCCCACACTGAATGGGGTCCCAGCCCTGGGGCTCTGCCTTCGCAGAGCCCTGTCTGCTGTCCTCAGGCCTGGGGGAGACCCACACTGTGGGCTCAGGGTGGGTGGAGGCTACAGAGGCCATGCCCCCCGCACACCGGCTTGTCAGGGCCATAGCCCACTGGCCTGCCTGGTGGTCCTTGTGGGATTTTACCTGCAGGGAGTTGAGTATGGCAAACAGGTACTGGAAGACCAGGGCCCCGTCGTTGACGGCAAGCACACCAAACACCCATGAGATGCCCAGGATGGGCAGCAGCACGGCCACGGCTTTGGCAGTCAACCTGGAAGAGAGCGGTGAGGGAGCTGGGGGCAGGTAGGGTGGCCCTGAGGACCGGCCTTGAGACTGAAGGGACCAGAGGACCTAGTGAAGCCTGGGCCTGGGCTGAACTGTGCTCACCTGCTCAGGAGGGACGTGACCCTGACTGTACCCTGAGAGCTCAAGCATCACCTGGGGTGGCCCAGGACACAGGCAGTGGCCCATCCAAGCCTTGCAGAGTGTGCGAAGGCCAGAGAGAAACCAGGCCCGACTTCTGGGGGCCCAGAGAGGTCGGCAGCAAGCCCAAGTTCCCACCTCTTGGCAATCCAAGAGCACCCGACCCTGTGATGAGAAGCCACGGCACTGGCCTCTCTCCAGGCCCCATGGCTTCAGCCACTGGCACTTCTGTAGCACAGACCTCGAGCTCGCAGGGGACAGGCAGCCTGGCCACCTCCACTGCTCGCAGACATGGCTGGAGGAGGCACCAGACGAGAGCTTGCTGAACCGCACTGCTGATGGCCCCATCCCCTCCCACACAGGGACTATGGCGGGCATTGCTGTCTCCTTGGCCCACAGGTCCCTTGTACAGGTGGGGCAGGGGACACTCTGACCCCAGAGGCCCCACAACCCCCAGTGACGGCCAAGACGGCACAGGTTTCATCAGTGGCAGAACCAGAGGGCATACAGATGTCCCCCCTTCCTGGCCAGTGCTGACCCCCACCCTGCCCACAACCCAGGACACCTCCGGGCAGCTTTCTACAACTCAGATTTGCCCTCCCTGAGCAGCAGAGCCCCAGAGCCTCTCCTGCAGGGCATCACCCCTCCTGGGCTTAACTCTGCCCTTTCCTCATTGGCTGAAGTCTCACCAAGACAGCCAATCGTGTTGCCCACTGTCCTCTATAGAAAGGAGCATGTGACTCAGGCCAGCCAACCAAAGCAAGTCTCTGGGTGAAGACCACAGGAATCTTGCACAGGCCGGTACCTGACCCTGTTGCAGCTGCTTCCTCTCAGCCCTTGTCCCTGTCTGTGGCCTTTCTGCAACTGGTCTCTTAGCCTCTTCTGTGAGCCACTGGCTATCTCTCAATACAGGATTTTCTGTGGCAGCCTAGAGCAGTCCTGCAAAGGAGCCCCTCCCCATGAAGTAAAGCGGGGAGAGACAGCAGAGGTCAAGGCACAGACCACCTGGGCACAGAGGGCCCTGAGGGCCAGCTCTGCTCTGGCTCACAGCACTGTGCCCTAGTAGTTGGCCTTGGATGCAAGGAGCCAGGGGCAACCTGGGCATGCTCAGGCAGACCATCCTACCCAGCCAATGTCGGGGCAGAAGTGTCAGTCCCGGCTGCCACAGTGGGAGACACACCGGCCTCGGAACGTCAGGAAGAGCAGCCTCACCAGGGCACCCTCAGAATGAGAGCCTCAGGAGACTGGGTCTCGGTCCCCACTGTGTCTACAGAGCCTGGGACAGAGGTGGCATGGAGTCAGCTCTCAGCACACTCCAGGGGCTGCGTGAGTCAGGGGACTGGCTGTCTGGCTCAGGGCCACTTCTGACATGCGCTGAGCTCATGGTACACAAATGCCATCTGTCCCGACTTCCAGGACAGCTGGGCGCTCCACAGCGGGGGCCTTCTGCCTTCACACATGGGGGAAAACCCAGAGAATAATGGGGCCTTGCTGCCCAGCGCAGCCACTGCCACATGCCTCAGTTTACCCCTCGTAGCTCAGCACAGGGACTGACTTGGTCTCCCTCTCCACTCTGTGATGTCCGAGACCAAGTTTGTCTTTTCAACTCTGCAGCCTGAAAGTGCAGCACTGAGCCAGGACGCAGACCTCAGGAATTGAGCCGTAAGCCAAGAAAGGAAGAACAAATGGACGAGTGTGCAGAAGAGCACAACGGGGTGCAGCGTCCCTCCCGAGGGGCAGCAAGGCACGGCCATGACGAGCCCTGTCATTAGCCCAGGACCCCCACACCGACAGCTCCTGGCAATGGACCCCGTAAACCAAGGGATGTTCCAACACGTCCGCTCTCAGGGAGGCTGTGGCCCTGCTTTGATGATGTGGGTACAATAAAAATAAACCCCGGTCCCTGGAAACAAGCGCCCTGCACGCTCCAGCCATGTCTTCGTCCTGGGAAGCTGGGGGACAGGAGCAGCCTGAGGAGCAGGCATCAGATGGGCTGCTGCTCCAGGGACAGTGCTTTTGCTCCTGAGGCTACAACAGCAGCAGAAGGAGCTGGGGGACGTGCACCTGCTGGGAGCTCTCTGGGGTCTGCTAGCATGGCCAGGCTGCCAGCGCCACCTCGTCAGTTGGCAGGGGAGGGGCCGTGGCCAGTGGAGGCAGCTGGGTGGCGCTCTCCTCCCGATGCCTCACAGCCTGCCCAGGGCAGTGGGCCTGGCATGGGGGCTCAGGCCCTGGTGAGTCCCCCTCCCAAGGCCCCTGCCACGGTGCACCCGTGGGCCCACCCCTCACCCCACCTCCAGGGCCTGGGTCTCATCGCAAACCTGACCACGCTCTGCTGCTTTCCCGTGGGTTTGGAACTGCAGCCAGTTAACAGATCTGTGAAGAGCGGAAGCCAGCCCTGTGAAGGCCCCCAAGGAAGCCTCTCGTCCTGTTACCCACTGGACACGCGGCTGGGACAAAGACAGCCACCAGGCTGCACCTTGATAGACGTAGAAGGGGCCGAAGGAGCTTCCAAGGTGGCTGCAGTTGCTACTTCCCTCTGCCTCAGAGCCCTGGGGGAGGGGCAGCTGGTGTGCCTCGGAAGCTGACCAGGCCACGAGGAAAGTCAGGACAGCCCCAGTCAGACCTGGCCACTTAGAGAAGGGCAGCTGGTGTCAGCGGGCTGTGCTGGCTGTGCCCCAGAGACAGCCACCTGCCTGGACAGTCTCCTGGAAGGCCATGTCCCTGGCTGCCATGTGCAGCCTCAAGGGCACCAGGGCAATGCCACCCTGTGGCTCTGCAGACGCTGACCAGCTGGCCCAGGCACTTCCTTAGGGGAGCAGAGACAGCTGCCAGTCCCTGGGGATCCTGTGGAGAGAGATGAGCAGGGGGCAGGCTGCCTCCCAGTGGGCTCTCAGGAGGGCAAGGAGGGAGAAGCGAGTCAGGGGTCGAGGGCACAGGAGTGTCCTGGGGACAGGGAGGGCCTGGTCCTGCAGGGCAGCTCTCCCTCTGCCTCTCGGTACAGGAGGAAAGGAAGAGCTCCTGACCCCGGGAGCACTTTCCCTCCTGGCACAGGCTGGACGCTCGCAGGGGCTGGAGAGCTCCAAAGGGCTGCAGCCCCTGGAGGGTTAATTTACAGAGTTTAGATTTGTTACAGAATAATTATCTCATGGATTTGCTGCTGGCTTGTTTATGGCTTTTGCTCTCAGATCAGAAAAGATACACTAGAGCTAGTCATTTACAGTCAGTAGCCTCCAAACTCCTGTAAGAGCTGCCTTCCCACCTTCAGCCCTGGACCTGGGGGGCTGGCACAGCCCAGCATCAGGGTGGCCCAGGAGACCCAGGCCTACCAGTCTTGTGGGGGCATCCCACCCTGCCAGGATGGATTCGAGGAGGGCATGAGGCCCAGCAGGTCCTGTCCTCCCGCTCAGGCACAGGGTGCATCAGAACAGGAGGGAGGGGATCTTTCCCTGGATTGAACTGTTGCAGCCATTCTGCCACCAGGAGGCCACAGTCACTCTGGGAGGGACACCAAAGTGGAGGAGGAAAGCTGTGGGGGAGGAGCTAGTCTGGAGATGGTGCGGCCACCCAGCCGTGGCAAAGGAGGGCGCCGAGCTCTGCACCTTACCATCTTCTTATGCACCAGTCCTAGGCCAGCTTGTGTGGGGCATCAGCAGTGCCCTAGAGGATACGGCCAGAAGGCCAGAGGCAGCAGGTTGCGTGGGCAGGACCATCCCAGAGAGCCCGCTCCTTCTCCAGACGGCCAGCCCAGCACAGGGGGAAGCTCTGCTATCAAGAGTCTTCTTCCACACAGTGGACCACGAGGGGGTCCTGTGGTCATCCACACTCCACAGTGAGGAAAGCCAGGCCCAGAGGCTAATGGACTTCAGAGTCAGCAAATGGTGGGCCCCCTGAGGGGGAACTCCCCTCCCCCCTCAGCCACCTCTCACCCTGGTGGGGCATTCCCAGGGGGACATTCACTCAATCCCTCTCTGTTCACGTGGGGACTGCCAACCTGGGTTAGGACCTTGCCACGGGTCCCTGGCAGAGAACAGGGACCTTTGTGAGGACAAGGGCCAGGGATGCCTGGTGAGGTCCTGAGGACCCTGAGCAAGATGAAGACTTGGGTGACAGCCATGGCAGCAGCATGGCCATCCCCTGTGACCTGTGAGCAGCCTGGGGGGCAGCTTGGCAGGACTGTAGAAGCCGTGGTCAACTTACTTGGAGGCACTGGGGTCCCCGTGTATCTTATAGCTGTCGGCACTGATCTGGGAGATGACCCTGGTCACAGCCACGAGGATGCCGATGTTGACCTGCAAGGGAGGACCACCAGGAGGGACAGTGAGCAGGCCACAGCATGCACAGGGCCTCAGCGTCCACCCCGCAACCAGCTCTCCTAGGCCAGCCGGCGTTGACACTGGGACAAACGTGTCCCAGGTCTCTGGGTGTCCCCAGCAGATGACATGCAGGCCCGCCCAGGTGAGCGCAGGGGTGCCAGGAGAAGAGCAGAGATAAGCTCTAGAGTCTAGAATGACCTCCGGTACCTGACCTGAGCTCCCGCTCACCTCCCACCTGCCCAGGCCCCCAGACCTGGTCCTCAGAGACTCACTCCCCACATGGTGAGAGAATAAGACGCTGCGATGCAAACTGACCTTCAAGGGTGAGAAGCCCCGCCTAGCAAGCCACCCAGGCCTAGCTATCACTTCCTGCCTCTCATGGTGCTTGGACACTGTGGTGGTGGGGTCCATCTGCCCAGCACCTCCAGACCTGCCGGGAAGCTCCCTCAAGACACTGGAAGAGGTCCCAGCACATCTGTCCCCTCACCTAGGCAGTTCTCGGGGTCCCGAGCAGGAGGGGCCAGGCGGGGACAGCAAGGGGAAGAGGCCCTCAATTTATGTCTGAGGTAGGATGCACAGCTGGGCTGTGGGTTGCATGGTGGTTGGGCTCTACCCCTTGACTCTGAAAGTGTCTGAGATCCTGGACACAGTGAGAGGTCAGCTCCAGGCCCAGATCCTCCATGGGAACATGCTGCTGCCTGTGGCAATGACACCTGGCAGTGTCCCCCTCAGGCCCACGGGTAGGCTGCTGGCCTGTGCCTGTTTTGGTACACAGACACAGCAGGAGTCCCTGGGGGTGTGGTCAGGTCACCCGCGACCTAGCTGTACCATGCCATATATCGCCAACAGTGGCCACGTTCTGGGCCTTTCTGAGCCCCTCTGCTGGGCTTATCCTGGGGCCTGGGGACACTTTCCCTCTAACTCCACGTCCACTACCTTTGCACTCCCAGGGCCCCCACTTCCTCCCAGTTCCCAGGACCCTTTGCTGAGGGCTCTCTTCACAGCAAGAGACTCTGTCTGTGCAGCGTCCCTGGGCAAAATGGGACCCTGTCCCTGACCTGCCGAGCCTCTCGCTGCCCCCACAGCAGGAAGTGAGCAAGGCTTAACCATGTCTCTCTGCCGGGCACCCCGTCTTCCCAGGCCACCTCCATGCGGTGGCTCAGCCCCCCACTATCCTCTCCTCTGTGGAAGAACAGAAGTTTCCCAAGGGTAGGGAGAGGGAAGGACTCAGCAGGCACCACCCAGCCCAGCACTGCACAGAGAGGAGAGATGTGGCAACACGGCTGCCCAGCCAAGAGCTCACCCTGCCCATGCCTCTGCCCTGAGCTCCAGCGGGAAGCACCAGGACCTGGGTGGGCCTGAGGGGGAGCCCAGGGCCTTCCCGGGACTGCAGCTGAGCCCCAGGGAGAGCAGGAGACAGCGATGCTGTGCCCTTGGGTGTGTCCTCAGGGAGCCCATCCACAGCCCTGCTCCGAACCCTTGTGTGGGCACCTACCACAATGACCAGCAGGGCAGGGGCCACGAAGGCCCAGATGGCGCCACTCCCCAGGGAGAGCCAGCAGCTGTGGAGGGAAGCAGAGTGTCACCTCAGCACCTGGCCCGTGGCCCCATCTTCTCCTCCATCCCCACTGCTCTCAGTCACAGTCCTGGGCCCCAGTCCCAGTGCTGATCCCACAATTACTTTTCAATCCCTGATTATCTCATCTCTCACTCTTGGAGAGGATCTTCCAGTCTACAGACTGGGTCAGCAACCTCTGAAGAGCCCAGCCAAAGCCCAGAGTGGGTTTCCACACAAACTCTGCCGGGACTGGCCTCCTCCAGAGCACTTCAGACCGTGGCCTGGCCATGCCCTCCCCGAGGCCTGGTAGAATGGTGGCCACCATGGGAGGCACCCTGCCCTGCCCACTTACCAGGGGCTGCCAGTCAGCTACACCTCTAGGTCACTGTTCTAATGTCCTAGGAGGCAGGGTCCAGTTTGAGGATGTGAAATTCCTCCCTGCTCCAAGACGTGACCCCAGAGCTCAGGCAAGAAGGCCAGGTCCCTTAGAATCCCATACCTTCGCAGAGCCTGTGGAACTACCCAGAGCCTCAGGCTCCCAGGAGATGTCACCCTTCTGGTCCCCAGAAGCTAGTGTTCCCAGGACACTGAGCACATTGACGGGGCCTGGCCAGGCGTGAGGCACAGTCTGGCACATGGTGTGATGTCTCGGGGCTACCTTTAGTTCACAGCAGGTCTGGCCCACTCATGATAAAGCCCAGACTGATTCAGGTCCCATTCAAGCCTACAGCATCCCTTGGCAAGGCTGTGGTCACTCCTATCCCACAGATGGGGAAACTGAGGCCCAGAAAGCCCAGGTGACCCTCAACATGCAGGGGTGCCCTGTCCCTAGCCACCCACCCCCCAGGACCTCCTAGACCATGGGACACCAAATGCCCTAAACAGCTGAGAGTTCTGTGTGAGGCCATGTGTGTCTGGACACAGCCCGGGGAGGACACATCTCGTCTGGACGCGCCAGGCGAGGAAGTGCACTGCCAGGACTCAAAACCAGCTCCCCGGGCTCCTGAGGGATGGCAGCACCATCCAGGCAGCCTGCACTTCCTGACTTTCACCCAGAATGGTGTATTTGTAGGACCTCAGGACCCTCCTGACCCTTCCTGCCCTGTAGTCCAGGGACCCCTGAACCTCGCCAGGCTACCCCCCAGCTCAGGGCAAGAGAGGCCAATGTCAGAGCTGGGTGAGGAGGTGGCCAGCACCCATGAGCTATAGGGGCTCAGAGCAGGGCAAGTTCCCCGAGGTAGCTGGAGAAGGCCACTCTCTGCCATCAGGGCCTCAGCTTCTAGAGGCAGCGGGATAGAGGCACAGCACCCAGGTGCTTCCTCCTCAGTCCTCTGGCTCCGCCCCTCCTCCAGGCCTCCATGGCCCTCGCTGCCCGGAGCAGAGGCTGCCTCTCCCCACTTGCCAACACACTGCCTCCCGGCCCTGGGGTGTTCCACTGCCTTCTCTCCTCCATTCAGCTGCCTCCAGCTGCCAGGCCCCTGGCCCCTCAGTCTGGCAGGACAGGCTCAGCCTCCTGGGACCCCCAAGCAGCAGCCCTCCTCTGAGGACAAGTTGTGGAAGGTGAGCCCCTCCCGGCTGGCTCCCCCTCCCCTCCTGGCTCAGTTGGCACAGCAGTGGCCTGGCCCAGAGTCCCCCTCCTGCCCAGCAGGGCATGCTCAGGTCTCCTGGGGCACATCAGCAGGCACTGGCTGTGCATGCGTTTCTTCACTGCACTATGACTTATTGGGCACTCACTGTATACTGTGCACTTGCTAACCACCTTTTCTCAGGGCTCCTGGGGCATAAACTTGGGCTCCATGGGGGACCACAGGGTGAAAAATTCCATCAGAAACTCCCACCAGCCATCGTCCTACCTCTGAAGGATACTGTGACACTCCCCCATCCTGCCCCCTGGGGGCGCTGTGACACCCCATCCTACCCCAGGGGTGCTGTGACATCCCCACCCCTCCCCCGGGATGCTGTGTCACCCCCATCCCACCCTCCAGGGGGCTGTGTCACCTCCATCCCTCCCCTAGGGCACTGTGACACCCCATTCCCACCCCTGGGGCACTGTGACATCCCCATCCCTCCCCTGGGGGCTGTGAGACCTCCATCCCACCCCAGGATGTGCTGTGACATACCCACCCCTCCCTTGGGGTGCTGTGTTACCCCCATCCCTCTCCTAGGACACTGTGATACTCCCATCCCTCCCCTAGGGCACTGTGACACCCCTATCCCTCCCCGGGGGCACTGTATTATGTGTGCCCAGGACTGTCGCACTGCCAGGGCCTGGGGCAAGGGACCAGTGAGCCCTGCAGCTAGAACAACAGAGGGCCAAGGCCAGCAGGCCTACTGGTGCCCTTCCCCATGGAGGACCCTCCAAACACAAGACACTGCCAGGACACCTCACTCACTTGTCACTGGTCCCGTAACTATCCAAGGCAGATGCTATGGTGATGATGCAGATGAGTAGCGGAGACCCTGTGGAGAGGAGAGAGAGCTTGTCAGCCCGCCCACTTCCTCTGTTACACCAACTTCAGCCGATGCTGGCCACAGAGCCCCTGCCCTCAAGGAAGCATGGGCAATGGAGGCCAGGCGTGGGCACTCACACCCACTCACCCTCCCAGGCTCTAGCCAAGAAGCCCAGGAGTCTATCCCAGGGACAGGCCAGCTGCACTGACAGGTAAGGAAGCCCCACTCAGCTTGTGTGACCCGAGGCTCTCACCAGGTGGAGCTGGCCCAGAGGGACTGTGACAAGAGCTAAAGGCATTTCTGTTATAATGGTGAGCCCCTAGGCATCAGGTAGGAGGCCAGAGGTTCTGCTGACCCCATAGTACACTGCACCCCAAGGAGAATCATAGGGAGAGCCATCCACAGTGCACTGAAGCCCCAGAAGGATCATGGGACAGACCTCCACACAGAGCACTGTAGCCCAAGGAAGATCATAAGACACACCTCCTCATAGTGCACTGCATCCCCAGGAGGATCATAGGAAAGACCTCCTCAAGTGCACTGCACCCCAAGGAGAATCATAGGGAGAGCCTTCCACAGTGCACTGAAGCCCCAGGAGGATCATGGAACAGACCTCTTCACAGTGCACTTCATCCCCAGAGGATCATGAAACAGACATCCTCACAGCGCACTGCAGCCCCAGGAGGATCATGGGCAGACCTCCTCACAGTGCACTGCACCCCCTGGAGGATCACAGGACAGACCTCCTCACAGTGCACTGCAGCCCCCAGGAGGATCATGGGCAGACCTCCTCACAGTGCACTGCATCCCCAGGAGGATCATGGGACAGACCTCCTCATAGTGCACTGCATCCCCAGGAAGATCACGGGACAAATCTCCTCAAAGTGCACTGCAGCCCCAGGAGGATCATGGGACAGACCTCCTCACAGTGCACTGCAGCCCTAGGGGGAATCATTGGCAGAGCCCCCACAGTGCAGAGGATCATGGGACAGAATCAGTGGTGTCAGTTGAGACCCCCTGAAGATCCACAGGGAGGCGGGGAGGGAGCTAGCTCAATTGGCCCTGGAGTCCTGGGCGACCAGCTGAACTGTCGCGGACACAGTGCCCAAGCAGCCAATGTTTGAGACAGTGCTGCTCAGGGAGCCACACCACCTCACCATCCATGTGGCTCAGGGACCTCCTGTCCCTGGCTCTAGAGGCAGGTGACCCACAGGGGCTGCTGGGACATCCAGTGCTTGGCCACAGTGACTGGTCAGGGCATTTAGCCCTGATGGACCAATGAGACCCTGTTAAGGGACTTCCTTGACACGGCTGTGCGAGAAGCTCCCACTGGTTCCTGGGAGGGCGAGGACCAGGGGGACCCTTATCCACCCAGCTGCCTTGGCATCCAGGGCAGAGATGCAGCACCAACTTAGAGAATGTTAAGGAAAGCAAAATTTTTTAAAAATTTTTTTGTACTGGGGATCTAACCCAGGGGCACTCTACCTCTCAGCTATATTCCCAGCCCCCTTATTTTTGAGACAGGACCTCACTAAGTTGCTGAGACTGGCCTGGAACTTTGTGATCATCCCATCTCAGACTCCCCAGTCACTGGGGTGACAGGCGTGTGCCACCATGCCTGGCAAGGAGGGCAGATGGTGACTGTGGATCAAGCTGAAGTCCACCACCCTGGACCTTTTTCATTAGGTAAGCCATTAGACTCCCTGCTTGCCTAAGCCAGTTTGAGCTGGACTAAGTGTGACTAATTAAGTGCTTTCAATGATTTACAAAGCTGTGCGGAAGAGGTGGAGGTCAAGGGAAATCTAAGAAAAAACACCTGGACTGGCAATTCCCAGAGATTTCAGTGTCTCAGCAAAGAAGGGATTCAAGGGTTGGATTGGTTTTAGAGGCTCTGCCCTGACCCCAGGTGAGCTGGCCTCCAATCTCCCTCTGCAGCTGGGAAGGGTCAGAGGTGAATGTGCCTGTGACTGAAGGGGAGACACATCGCAGCATGGCCCAGGCTGAGCCACCACGGCACCCGCTCCGGCAGCCAGTCCTGCACACACACCTATGCTCTGAGGCGGAGCCCTCGTGAACCTGTTTCTGCAAACAACTCACCCAGGGGCTCAGAGAGCAGAGCACCCTGCAGGAAGCTAGATCTGGCGCAGTGGCCCCATGGGGTGTCCCTGCTCTCCACCCTCTGCAGAAGGACAGCCAGGGCCAGCTCCCTGTTCCACCTGGGCCTTCCCCAGAGGGTGATCAAGGCTCCTCGGGAGGAAGCCGTATTTCTCAGATTCCTGAACTAAAGATGGGGTGGGAACACGGGGTGGCTCTTGGTTCCCTCCTGGCAGGTTCTGCACTGGAGGAGAAGACGGGCAGGCTGTCCTCCCAGCACCTCCAGGCCACAGCTGCCCAGCACCCTGGGGGTAGGGTCCCGCCGCCCCCTTCTTGAATACCAGGGTTTCGGATTTTGTTTTTAAATTAAACACCTTGGAAAGAATCTTGCCCCTGAAACACTTTGCTTCAAATGTGGAATAAATGAATTACTGAATGTCCCAGTCTCATGAGAGAGACTGGATTGCAATAAAGGGAAATAAAACAGGCCACTTTCCTCCCCTGCTGAGCTTGTGATCAGATTCCTCTCTTGCAGGGAGGTACAGACTCTGCTTCTCACCCTCCCATCCTCTCCTGGGTGCCCCCACACTCCTGGGGGCGGTGCCACTCCACTCACCTCATGCCCCTCACAGTCCCTGCAGAGCACCTGGCCCCCAGCAAGCCTCAAGGACAGTGGCTGACTTGACCACCCTGTGTCCCCACCTCAGCTCTGAACAGCCTCGGGGCTTCCAGAGCATGGTACTGCCCGCAGGTTGGTGCATGGCCAGGTGAGGAACAAGCGTCCGTCTCCAGGGCTCCAAGGGCTCCGCCTGCAGTGTGGCCTCTCCTGCTCTGGGTCAGCCTCCAGCTCCTTCTTAATTAATGGCAGAGGCCGGGAGAGCCCGCTGCCTGGAGACTGTCTTTACTTAGGCCCAAAGCCAAGGAGCTGGGTTGGGATGACGGACGCAGCTCACGGGCTCCTGATGAAATTAATTAAGGGGAAGCTGACAGGGAGATAGATGGAGGGCTGAGGACCGCCTGGCTCTGTTTGTACGCAGCTTGCTTCGGGGCCACAGACTCAAACCCTGCAGGGACCGCAGGCGTCTGTATCAGAAGCCGCACAGTTGCAGCCTGTGCTGCCTAGCAGGAATACAAACTCGGTGTGCGTGGACCTCCTCGTTCTTCAAAAGAACTTGGTAATTTTATGCAAAGTCCCTCAATTTTCAAGTATTGGCAAATAACCCACTTTTCTCCAACATGGCTCCTGCAGGCTGCATTGACTCGATTATCACACACACTCCCACCCGACCTCGGCGGCTCCTCTCACTGGGCTCCTCTCTCCCCCTCAGGACGGATTCGTCAACCCTTTCAGTACATTCCTCTGTCTTTGCTGGGGCTTATTATTCACATGCTGCGTGCGCACGCCTGCGCCTCTAAATGGCGTGATTCTTCTTTCCTTGGAGAAACTGGAAAACTGCAGGTGGCTGGCAATCACCTTCTAAACCCTTGCTAATGGAGTCAGACTCACAGGAAGAAGCAGCTCTCCCCTGGGGAGTCAGGAAGGACTGCGGGAGCTGGTCACACTGGAATTGGGCTCGCTGGGAGTGGACAGGGGTAGACATTTGGACTTGGGGCCAGTGTGTGCAAACGGTGACCCTGCAGCAGGGGCAGCAAGGCGGGCCCGGGACTCTGAGCAGACCTCAGGGATTCCCTGCAGGGCCAGCTGCAGTGGGGAGGAGGGGCCCAGGTCCCCTGCTCACTGCTCCCTGCTCCCCTGGGAGGCCATGAGGGATGCATAATTTAACTCCACTTCATCCTCAAATAAATTACATTTGCCAATTCAAAGCACAAAGTAAACAAGCTTAATCTCCTCCTTGCATGATGAGGGCTGCGAAAATTAAATCTATTTGGAGAAAACTAGAAACAGGCAGCAGGTCCCCAGAGCCGGATCCACACCTCGCAGCAATGGTAAGAACGCCAGGTAACAGCCCAAGCCTTGCAGAAAGGGGGCCCTGTGCTCGCCCGGACGCCCCAGCATGGGTAAGAGTCCAACTCACCGGCTGTCCATGGGAGAGGACGCCCAGGCCCGGGCACAGACACTCTGGGTGGTTTAAACAAACTTTCAGTCTGTGCATTTTCCTAAGGTGCCCAGCAAACAAAGGCAAGTTCACTCAGGAAAATCCCCTACTCTGGCTGAGAACTCAACTCCGGCTTCCCCACCAGCCCCATGCGTGCAAGGAAGCCACAGCTCCAGCACTGTGGACACCACAGGCCTCATCAACCGCCCCGCCCAGGGCAAGACCCCGCCTCCCACTCCCAGAACCCCATGTCTTGGAACCCTGAGCCAGGGGCAGCAGCTGCAGGGGCTTCCTGCCTTCTGGCTCCAGCTGGCAGTGTGCAGGGCCCCACGGTAGGTGGGCTAGGAACATGGGACCTCTCTGTCCCTTCTCAGCTGGCTTTCAGGGCAGAGGCCATGTCCCCCTGCCCCTGGCCTTGGGGAATTTTCCCAGGAGAGAAGCAGGGGGTTAGACCACAACACTCTAAAGTGTTCCGCGTGGGACCCGAGTCCGTTGGAGGAGTGTGGAGAGCTGGAGCCAAGGGCACACCCTGGAAAGGGATGGGGCCTGAGTGTGCACCAGGAAGAGGAAGGTCCCAGAGCACCCCACCGGGGAGAAGAGGCAGGGAGAGCCTGGCAAGGGACCCCACTAGGCCTGCACCTCAAAGACTGGCCTCAAAGCCCCCTGCAAAGGGCCATGGAGTGGGGTGTGCCCTAGGCCCTTGCTGGGAACAACAGCAACCCACTGGCACTTGGAGGAGCCTGTGGTGGCCCACATCTCACAGGGAGGGGTTGGGGGGACCCTTCAGGTGAGCCTCCAGCGTGCCAGGGGCCGTGCTCTTGCCAAGGCTGTGCTCCTGACCCAGAGCAGAGCCCCAACACTGGAAGCAGAACCCACAGAACTGAAGGGAGAAGTCACAACACAGCAGGTGGTGACTTCAGGACCCGCTCTCCAGGGACAAACAACTAGAGGAAAATCAAAGAGGAAACAGAGACAGGCCTGAGCGGTGCGCAGAGCACCTGTCCAAGCCACAGCGGCCATCTGCTCACTTCCCAGCACAGCAATTTACCAACTGTACAACAAACCCCACAAGCTCACGAGTCAGACTAGCCATTCCAGGGGAAGGGGCAGAAATCCTAGGAAGAGGCAGGAGAGGCACAAGTCTGTGGAGGTCAAACAGCAAGGGGTCAGAGAAGGATGTTTGAGAACCAGAAAGACTCTGAGGTGCACGGAAACACACACACATGGAGCACGGGGCAGCCAAAGTAGCGCCAAGAAGGAAATGCACGCCTGGTACCCCACAGTGGGCACTGAGCCCATACTGTCCCCACACACAGGAGGAGAGAACAGGGCCTGAGCAGGAGGCAGGAAGGGTGAGATGAAAGCAGGAATTCATGAGACGGTCAACAGAAAGGCAAGACGCCCAACGTGGGTTCTCTGTAAGACCAAGCCCCGAGCCACGTCAGGACGTTGGAGTGTTCGGGAGACGTGGGAGCTTTGCCCTGGACCAGCAGGGCTCCTTCCTCCCGGCCACAGGAGGCACCATCACCCAACCTCCCTCCGCGTCTGCCCTCATACCCCAGCCCACCTACCCCAGCCCAGCCCATAGTAGTAGAGGTGCTTGCTGTCCTCCGAGCCGAAGACCTTGACCACCATGCTGTAGAGGTGCAGCCCTTCCACCAGCATCCAGGCGAAGGCACTCAGGAAGAAGTAGTGCAGGAGCATGGCCAGCACCTGGCAGGGGATCTAGGGGTCAGCGGAGATGGGGAGACTGTGGTGAGGGGTCTGCTGTCGGCCCAGCCTCCTCCTCGGGCAGCTTCTGCTCAGGTGGCCTCATTTTCTTCCTGGGGAGTCCAGGCTGCCCTTTCTGGTCCTGGGGTTTGTCTGTATCCGCTCAGGGCTGGCCAATCATCACTGAGTCCCTCCCAGGCATGGTGTCCTGTCCAGTAGAGGGACTGGCCTTCCCTCTGCAGAGACCAGCCCTGCCGCAGGGGAGATCTGCATGCGCCCCCCAGTGAGGTCAGGGAGGCAGGATGGCCCCAGCATGAGGGCTGCCCACTCACCGTGCCCGGCTCAGCGTGGAAGCTGATGAGCAGCAGGACCTGGGCCACCAGGACAGCAAAGGACAAGTTGGCATGGATGTGGTAGCGCTGGTTCCTAATGGTGCTGACAGAGCTGAGGACACAGTGGGGCGTGAGTCCCAGTGTCAGCTCAGACTCTGCCACCCCTCCCCAGGCGGGGCACCTGTTGCCCCCACAGTGGTCCCAATGTCCATTCCCCTGAACAGGGTCTTACAAAGCTCAGCCCAGTGTTGCCCCTCCTTGCTTGGATTGTTCTGGCTCCCGATTGCTCTTTGATGGAATCCTTGCCCTTCCACAGCCCCAGTGGCCCTGCAGTCTGAGCCCCCGCCTCCAGCCCCAGGGCATTTGTACCTGCTGTTCCCAAGCAGGGCTCTGCATGGTGGCTCAGATGCCTCCTCTCAGACAGAGCTTCCTGACCTCCTGCTCTGAGCAGCTCACCTCATTCTGTCCTGTAGGCTTTCCTCCTCTCTTAACCTCTGACAATACCCACTCAAGTGTATCCCTGTCTGTCTTGGCACAGCCGGGCCCTCAGAACTGACCACATGCCCAGTGTGGCCTGCTGAGGAACAGGCCATCAGCACGGATGCCATACCTGCCCTTGCCTGGGTCTGGGCTGGGGGTCTTTGCAGGCCTTCCTGTGTGGATGAAGCCTGGGTCCCCACTCCATAGCCCTTCCCTGCACTGCAGATTTAAGGGCACAGGCGCTGAGTAAGGGTCATCGGCCCAGGGTGAACTGGGCCCAAGCAGGGCTGGGCTGTCCCATAGGACTGCAAACGCCAGGAGGAGATGCAGGAGGGCAGGGACATCGACATGTCTTTGAAGCTGCCCACCTCCCGGAGCCGGGGACAGGGTGACTTACGACAGAGCTGCGAAGGTGACCAGCGTGGCGGCCAGGCAGAGCACGGACAGCGAGCAGCCGACGTAGCTGATGGACGACAGCGCCACCTGGTGGCCGCGTGTAAGCTGCGGGAGCAGAGAGGGGCGTGGGCACAGGCCAGAGGGCCCAGATCCAGGCCACAGCGCCCACTCCCGTGCCTGCAGTTGCCCCCATGGGCAGTCTTAAGTGGTGCCCCTGGCTGCACAGCACCTGGGGTGCTGCAGGCTGCCCTCAGATCCTTCAGGTCTCCTCCCCACACCTCCTGCCTAGGATGGGCTGCCTGCAGAGGGGAAGAGCAGGGTCCAGAGCAGACCGCCAGGGTTCAAGTCCAGCTGGTCTGTGTCCCAGTAGATGCTCTGGGACCAAGCGGGCTGCAGGCCTCTGGCCGTGAAATGAGACTTGGCCGCCTGTGTCAGGGCACCAGGGGCTGAAGGGATTCACCTACAGTGTGGCTTGGAGGGTGCCTGCTGGGTGGCATGCTGTGACCCTGTGGTGGGTTGGTGCCCACTCTGCACCCCCATCCCACCCCACCCCACCAAGAGTGACAGCCCTTGGCATGGCTGCTCTTTCTGCACTAGCACCCACAGGCCCCAGCACCTGCAGCCTACATGGACTTCACATTCGCCTCCGGGGCGTGTGACACCTTTCAGACATCAGGCAGTGTGCAAATGCAGATGCCACAGGCCACCCCACAGTGCAGCCTCAGGACAATGGCTCCAGTCTAGGCCTCAGGGTCGGACACATATCGCCCTGGGCCCCACCTGCTCCCGAGGCTCGAGGCTCGAGGCCAGGCCGGCTGCCTGTTGTCAGAGGCCTGGGTCCTGAATACCTTGTGGATGTCACGTCCAGAGGCCACAGACCACACACCAAGATCCGTCCCTAGGACAGGAGGGGACTCCAGCCCCCACCTGTGGCACTGCTGGAGGGCCTAGAAGCTGCTCCCCAGCACTGCTCATGAGGAGGGGCAAAGGGGCCCTCACAGAGGGAGTGCTGTTGGCCAGGGGAGGAAACGCTGCAGGCCCCAAGGCCCAGCCCAGAGGCAGAGGTCAGGAATGGACACGGGGCAGGGACTGTGGGAGTCAGTAGGACTGGCCACACACCCTACAGTATGTGATTCACAATGGAGGTGACTTTTCCACGGGGCCAGGAAGCCTGGCCTCCTTCTGGGTCCAGTCCTTGAGTGCTGCAAGATGCATCTGCAGGGCACCTGCGGGCTAAGCAGGGTCCATTGAGAACTCCCAGCTGGGCAGAGCTGCCTGCCATAGGCCCCAGCCCTGAGTGTGGGGCTGTGTGCCCTGCCTTAGGGCCTCAGCCACCAGCCAGGGGTCTCAGCCACCAGCCACCAACCTCAGCCACCCAGCCAGGGGTCTCAGCCACCAGCAAGGGGCCTCAGCCACCCAGTCAGGAGCCTCAGCCACCCAGCCAGGGGCCTCAGCCGCCAGCCACCAACCTCAGCCACCCAGCCAGGGGCCCAGCTGCCAGCCAGGGGCAGGGTCCTCCTCTCCCTGCAGGTACATGGGGGTACTTTGTCCTGAGCACCCAAGTCAGGTCCCAGACCTTGAGTTCTTGGGTCCAAGCTGCCCCTGCCCAGCTCTGCCCACAGGCTGACCACTACTAGCTGGGTGCCAGGTCCCTGCCAGGTGGGACAGGCATTGTGGGGATGAGGTCAATGGCCCTTTTCTCACTGTGCCATGGGCGGCTTCGGGGGCAGTAGTCACATCTCTGTTATGGCTCCTGCTGGACTTCTGCCCTAGCCAGGGCTCTGCCCTGCATCTGAGACAGATGACTCCTCTGTGGCTGGCCCTCGTGCCTCACCACCCCATGGAGCTTCAGGTCTTCCTCCCTTTGAAGCAGCTCCTGAATTACCTCTCCACTCTGAGAGGCCAGTTCCCCAGTTGCCCCCCTCTGAATCGCATATGGCGCTGCTGAGGGGAGCCTAAGAGGTCCAGGTGGGCAGCAGGGGTGAAGTGGTCAGTCCTGGGTCCCTCGGTGACCCTGTAGAGAGGCCACTGCCTCTGAGGTGGGCAAGTGGCCTAGGAGGAGTCCCCTCTGGACACCAGCCTGCCCTGCAGCAAACAGGCTGCAGGTGGCTCATTTCCACCTGTCCTCCGATGCCAGTCCACCTCCATCAGAGGACCCAGCCTGGGAGGCTCTCTGCCTGGAGCCGGCAAATGCTCTTGCCATTAAGACCCAGGATGGTCACCAAGCCAGCACTGCCTGGGTGGGCAGGATCAGCTCACCAAGAACTGGAGGGGAGAGAAGAGGCATTAGAGGGCAGGCAAGGAACGGGGGTAGGCATGTGCCCGCTGGCCTGGACTGCTCTTTGGCCTTTGTCCACTGGTCCTTCCCTCAGCTCTATGCTTAGGGTCCCTGCACAACCAGTGGAAGATGGACCGCGAGGGGTGGGCCCAGCGTCCCTGCCAGCCCGGTGTGTCCCTCTGTGGTCCCAGCTCCTGCTGCACGGCCCCACCAACCCTGCCTCATAAGGAAGGCCCCTATGGAGGCACAGAGGCTGGGGGTCACACAGTGGATCTCATGGGCACCGCCGGACTATGCCATCAGGACACCTAGACCCGTTTCTAGGAAGCGAGCTGTCCTCACACGGCGCCACCCTCTGTCAAAGGACGAAGCAGGGCTCGGGGCTTAGGTCCTCGAGTGGAAAAGCCCGGCTTCTTCAGAGGCTGTTTGGGAGGGAGACAGGCAGGTGGTCACCCGAGGCTGTCCTCAGGCTCGGACCTGCCTGTTGCCCAACTGCCTCCCACCCCTATCCTTACAGAACACAACAGGCTCCCCTCTCCTGATGCCCTGGTTTCCCCTGCACCCCAGGGCAAGCCCCAGGCCCCTGCAGGCCCTCACTCCTGACAGGGTGGGGGCTGGCGGCCGCCCAGGGGTGGCCCCACGGCTGCTGTCTGGCTTCCAAGACGAGGTAGGTTCCTGATGCCCACAAAGCACAGGGGTCACCCGTGCCACCACAGCCCCTCCAGCCCTCAGGCCTCCAGCTCTGAGCTGCCCACCCTGTGGACACCTAGCCCTTGGCCTGCTGTGGGCCCTCCTGGCCACCAAGCCCCTTAGGGTGAGATCCTGATTCTGAGGGCAGCCCCTTCCCAAGATGGGATCCCCAAGATGAGGTCACCCCTGGAGGCTTCCTTCTGCAGAAGCTCAAGCCCCCCCACAGCTCCAGGGCAGACTCTTGTTCCTGAAGGTTCTAGAATAAACCAAGCCATGGCTGCCTTTCCCCCAATAGTAGCAGCCTAGGCCTGGCAGGAGGGCTAGTTTGGAGCCATCCAGGTTGGGAGATGGGTGCTTGGGGCTGGGCACTCAGCCTTGGTGGTGCCCACTTCTCCCACAAAGAGGGTCCTGCCACACTACAGATGGGGAGGCGTGGCTCAGCAGGACCCTGCCAGGGCCACTCAGCACATACTGGGTGGGAGGAGCCCACATCTCTGGCTACCAGTGCAGGGGACTGCTGCTGCCCCAGCCCTAGAAAGAACAGACCTAGCGCAGAGTCACTCATGGGGAGTCCTGACACAGGCCAAGGAGACCCCTGCAGGATAGGAAGCTGTTTCCTCAGAGCCATGGCATACTGCGTCCGCCCTGGAGAATCGTAGCACAACCCTGCCCAGCTCTGCCCCTGGGACATTGTGGCTCACACAGAGGCTCCCCAGCCCCAGTGCCACCTTGCAATGGGGCACACGCCCAGGTCACGGTGCCCACCCTGCCGACTGAGCTCTTGCAGTCAGCACCTACTTGGGTGCCGCTGAGCACAGCTCCGCCAACCCACCCAGGGTATGGATGGGCCCTGACTGGAGGGCTCCTGTGGAGCTGTGCCACCCAGTGCCCGAGCTGCCCTTCCGCTCCCACCCGCGGGCAGATTTAGAAATGCCAAGAAAAGCCTGGAGTTTGCTTGAGGACACAGATCCCTGAGTCAGAGACCACAAACTCAGGCTTCCAGAGAGGCTCTGGATAAAATCCCACTGCAAAAGGAAGCTTTGTCTCCTGCTCAACACCAGCCCCCTGCGTGGGCCAGCACAACCCCCAGAGGGAAGCCAGCGTGTCACTGTCTCCAACAAGTTGGGTGCAATGGGGCCGCTGCATCTAGGGGGCAGAGCCCGGTGCTGGGAGCCCACTGCGGCCTGCGGGGGCTGCGGCTAGGCAGCTCCAGCTGATCCAGTTGGGAGTGGAAGCTCAGTGCAGCCAGGCCTTCTGCCTTTTAAAACCAGGAATCCAGACCTCTAGATAGTATATCTGGGTTTAAACATTTTAAATGGGGGCTAAAGGAAACCTGTCCACTGGCCAAAGTCGGCCTGTGTACCATGGCGAGACTGTCCTGGTGAGGCACGCTTCCCGTGGTTGCCCTTGGGGGGCTTGTTGGAACGGCTTTCCCAGGTGATGCTGTGCTAGCCCAGGGCCCTTGAACATCCACCCCCGGGACACAGAGCAGCCGCCTGTGCCCACATGTTTCCTGAAGAACCTGGGGAGGAACCAAGGATGAGGTACTGGGCATTGGCTTCTGCCAGCTCAGAGGTGGGCCCATACAACCTGGGGAGCACACAGGGTTTATGCAGATGGAGCTGTGGTTCCCTGAGCTGGGTGCAGTGGCTTCAGGGGTCAGCACCAGCCCTGAGCCTCCTGGCCTCCTCTCTCTCCTGCCTACACATTCTTCCTCTAAGTCAGCTGCAGCACCCGCTCTCAACCAAAGCAGTGGGTGGTGCACCCCCAGGCCCTGGTGGGTCCAGCCCACAGCAGCAGCCACAGCATAGGGGGTCAGTCCCTAATGGCCTCTCTCAGGACAGTGCAAACCTAGCTCCACCTGCCTACCTGTGCCCAGCATCTGTGGTGTGTATGGTCAGCTCTGCAGGCCCTGCCAGCCTGTGGGAGAGTTCCAGTCCCTCCTGGTGGTGCTGACTAACACATGCCTGGCTCACACAACAGCTGACACAGGTGCTGCAAGCCAGGCTCTCAGGAAGGAACAGTGGGCTCCACCCATTCTTGAAACCACCACACCTGGAGGCTGACTCTGGGGACACCTTGCAGAGCTGGGGATTTGCTCCTTAGGGGCTTTCATGGGCTCCCCACAGACACACCAGAGCTCAGGTCCCAAGTCTGCCCCTGCACTGCCAGCCCTGTGCCCACAGCCCTTGCCCTGTGCTAACTGCCACATGCGGCCTCATTCAGCAGGATACAATGTCACACATGTGACAACACAGAAACACACCAAACACAGGGAGCTCCCTGGGACAGCAGCCTGGGCACCAGTCCTAGCCCCAGCCCACCTGTCTAAGGTACCACTCAGGTGAGCCGACTGTCTGCCAGGATTGCTCAAAGGGGCTCCACCTGCTCAAGAGAAAGAAGCCTCTGACACACCAGATGAGGAAAGGGGCTGCGGGGAGATCGAGGAGGGGCCTGGGAGAGGGAGGCGGTGAGATGGGACATGAGCTCCTGGGGACAGAACCTGGGCCATGAACCCAAAGCCAGCAGGGTGAGCTGGGGCCACAGAGGAAGACGTGGGCTCAGCTCAGAGGAGGTAGGGCCGCTGATGCCGGTGTGCGGTTCTGGGGCGTGCTGCGGGCTTGGGAAGTGATCATGACATCTGCCTTCATTTCTTTAACATTCATGGGAATGTTCATTTTTAGCAGAGATAATTTTAAACCATTTTCAAATCAACCTTTCCTGGCAATGAATAGATGGATTTGCTCCCACGGAGACACCCACAGACTCAATCTGCTGTCACTGATCTTGAGAGGTGGTGGATCCACAATCCCAAGTGCGCTGGGATGCCAGGCTGCCGGCTTGAGCACTGAGCCCCCCCTCCCTCCCACAGCACCACGGGTCAGGCCCTGCTAGACATGCCCTCTCCCGCCCCTGCCACCCAGCTGACCCTCCCAGCTGCAGAGAAGGCACACTCTTCTCAGTCCTCGATGTGGAGGACCTGGAGGAAGCGGCTCTGCCCTCAGGGCTGGGGGACTTGGGAAGTCCCCAGACTCTCCCCCTGTGATGGCCAACATGATGGCTCCTCGCTAGGGGCCACAGGACCAAAGGAAGAACAGGTACTTGATGCAGTGCCCACCACAGGCTGAGCCTCCCATGGCCTGTGTGACACTGGTTTCCCAGCAGATGTTCCACCAGTGCCTCCCAGCAGCCAGTGACCCCGGCACCCTCTAGCAGGACTGACACTCAGAAAGGTTCCCGGAAGGCAACGCCTGCTGGCAGAACACCCACCCGCTGGTTGTCTGTGGCTCCTTGTGAGCTGGGGCTCATGTCCTTGTCCCTGGCACATCTCCCTGGAGGCAGCCCCTAGGCTCCTACTCCAGGCTCCTACTCTATGACCTGTCTCTCCATGTTCCTTCAGTTCCCCTGACCCAGTGGATCCTCAGCCTGAAAATGTGGTAGCAGTAGGTGCGCCGTTTCCCAGGACATGAACCTCATAGGCTGGCCCGTTCGCAGGGGGCCCCCTGCAAGACCTGGGACCCCCAGGAAGGAGGCCCTGTGTTTGCATGATGCCCGGTTCCTGAGCCAGCCCTTACCTCCAGAGGAACCACCTGCATGAGGATGGCGAAGTTGGTGAGGTGCGTGCAGCGGCAAACCGAGTAGCTGAGGTTCCCCTCCGTGCGAGCGCAGCCCTGGCTTGACCAGACACCTCCACCGGAGCTGAGGACACAGCAGCCATGGTCAGTGGAGGCAGCACTGCTCCCAGAGGGCAGCAGCTCTCCGCACACAGGCCTGTGGCCCTGTGGGCTTGCTCTGCCCCCCAGGGATGCAAAACACAAAGCCTGCGGCAGTGGCCTCTCAGGGCCAGGCCACAGGGCTGGGGCGCTGGGCTGCTGAGGCCACAGAGAGCAGGTCACAGGGAGCACGGGCCTCTCTGGGGACAGGAGGGTAGAGCTGTGTCAGCACTGTCCTTCTGCACAGTGCTCGACCACGTCCAGGGCAAAATGAAGTGTTACAGCCCACTGTCCAAACCCGGGAGATGGCTGAACTGTCGACAGAGGGCACACGCCCAGGGGCATCTGCCAGTCAGGACGACACTACCAACACGCACAGGAACTGAAGTGTGGACCTGGGGAAACGGATATCAGTGGGCACCCCTGGGGATGGACTGCCGCGGCAGTGAGAAGAAGCACCCGGCCCGTGGCTCACGGCAGGCACCGCGAGACAGGCGCATGGGCAGCGGAAGCCAACAGTGTCAGATGCTCCACAGACGTGGGTTAGACCCACAGAGAGACGACAGAGGGCACTCAGAACCCCCATGGTGGTCCAGGACGAGAGGTGAGGGCCAAGCAGGACGTTTGTGCCTTTGTGATGCTTTAGCATTGAATACTGTGCTCATATCAGACGATCATAGACAAAAACCACTTCAAGCAAACACGCTCCCTCATCAGCTGGCTCCTTCTCAGGGGACAGCATTGGTGACCTGATTTTCTCATCTGCACTTCTGTTTTCAGATTCCCAATAGGACTCTGAAGTGGTTCTCTTGGTAGATGTGAGCTTGGTAACCAGCAAAGACCAACCTGCAGCCAGAGGCAGAGGTCTTCAGCCTGGCTGTGTCCCACTTAGCTGCAACCACAGTGCCACCGTGGCTGCAGCAGGGTGCGTGGCCAGTGGGAGCCGTCCCCACCTCCCTGCCATGTCCCCACATGAGGCACACACCATTAGCATTGCTATTTCCCAAGGAAGACTGTGGGCACTGAGATTGTGACCCCATGTGGGTGGGACCTGAGAGGGTGGGAAAGGGCATTCGAGGTGGCTCAGGGGTGACACTGAGGCTGGCGAGCGAGAGGCAGGGACAGAAGCTTCTACCACGGCTTTCATGATTAATGAGCTGCCCTCCCGGGGAGGTGGGAGGCACTGAGCCCCCCACCCTGCCAGCAAGAAGAGCCAAACTCCATTGGGAACAAGGGACAGAAGAGGGCCCTGCAGCCCTCCCGTTGCTCCCTGGGCCTGATTTTCCCGGGACCCTTGTGTTCTGCACAGGGCCTCTGTCTACGGAAAATGTGAGGTGGCCCCTCAATCCGACCAGAGCAGGTGGAAAGACGTGGCTGTGAGGTGAACAAGGGCCCTCTGCTCAGGTGAAGGGAAGGAGACCACAAAGCTGCACCCCCCGAATGGAGCCACGAAGGTGTGACCCTGCCCAAGGTCCCGTCTCTGGGGAGTGAGGACCCACTCCAGGGGAGGCGGTGGGGACAGGAAGGCAGCTCCGACTGTATAGAAATAAATCTGCCAGGGAAGCCGGCCAAGCAATATCGGATCACATTAAAAACGTGCCTAGGCCTACAGCCCAGGAAGGTTGCGTCCATGCACAAAAATGCTCACTCAGGTCCATAAATAAGATGTGACACATATAAATACAATAGGAGAAATATGTGCCCATTGGGGCAGGCTGCAAAACCAAGACGAGGTGGAGCGATGTGAGAAATGTCAGGCTAAACAATACCGATGTGTCCTATGAACACAACATAAACCACACATCAGTTACCGAAAGCACACATGAAAACTTCCCCCTGTTGTAACCACTGCAGGGAGAGGAGATCAGGATCAGAGGGGAAGGTCAAAGGGGACTTTGCTTTTTTAAAATAATGCTTCACTTTTTTAAGGAATAATGCATTACTTGTAAATTTCTTAGGGTACATTAAAAAAAGTGGCTCAGAATTCTAAGCCCAGTGAAAAATATCTTTCAAAAATAAAAGAGAATTCTTTCCCAGACAATAATACCCAAATTTACTTCCAGAAGCCTTGCATTACAAGACAGGCTAAGGGAACACGCCAAGAGCCAGAATCCTGGGTCTGCACCAGGAAATACAGCAGCTGGAATAAATGAAGGCCTACGTGCCATTACCATGGTCTTATCTTTAATTGCTCTGCAAAGTTACTGATGGTCTGGGGTGAAAATAACAACAATGGCTGTGTGCATTCGTGTCACTTATAAAGATCCAACTGAGGGCAAGTCACAGGGCCCTGCAGGAGGAACTGAGAAGCCATTGCAGTATCTTAGAAGACATCTGAAGGCTACAGAATGGATTGAAGGTAGACACGGGTGCATGAAACCCACAAACTGTAAGCTCAGCCTCTACCAAAGAATTAAAAGGAGGTATAAAACCAAGTACACAGAGGAAGTCAAAAGGCACCCTACAAGAGCCCCAATCCAAATAAAGTCAGAGAGAGAGGAAAGGAGAACAAAGAAGAGAGACAGCACCCAGCAAAGTGGGGATTTTACTTCAACCACATCAATAGTCATATTAAATATAAATTGTGTAAACACTCCAATTAAAACAGCAATGTTAAGATTGGATTAAAAAGCAAGACCCAGTCATATGCAATCTAAATACCCCACTTTAAGTATGAATATATAAATAGGATGAAAGTAAAAGGACAGATATGATAGATACGTGATACAGCACCTATAGAACAGACACATGATTCAGCATCTATAGAAAAGACATGATATAGCACCTATAGAACAGCTACATGGTACAGCACCTATAGAACAGCTACATGGTACAGCACCTATAGAACAGCTACGTGATACAGCACCTGTAGAACAGATAGGTAATACAGCACCTGTAGAACAGACAGGTGATACAGCACCTATAGAACAGCTACGTGATACAGCACCTGTAGAACAGATAGGTAATACAGCACCTGTAGAACAGACAGGTGATACAGCATCTATAGAACAGCTACGTGATACAGCACCTATAGAACAGACACATGATTCAGCACCTGTAGAACAGACAGGTGATACAGCACCTGTAGAATACTAATCAAAAAAGAGTAGCTGTGTATAGATGGGACTAAGTAGCCCCCAGAGTAGCACATGTCCTAGGAGAAAGGAGGACACTGGGGTTGGGATGGGGCTCGGGGCAGAGCACTTGCCCAGCATGGGAGAGGTCCTGGGTCCATCCCCAGAATAAGAGCATTACATAATGATAGCAGGTCAGTTTTCCATGAAGTAACAATAATAAATGTATGTGTTCCTACCAACAGCACTTCAAAAGATAATAAAGGAAAATTCATACATCAGGGAGAAATGATAGCTTGAGCAGACAGCTGGAGAGTCACACCCCTCTTTCACTCTCCTCCAGTCCCTCCTGGGACAGGAGACCAAAGCCTGGGTGCTCAAGAATCTTGGATAACGCTGTATGGGATCTGCAGGTAACCTGGGCTCATCCTCCTGAACACTTCAACAGTCTCTAGGTTACTCATCAAATCTTACATGTAAATGCTACGTGAATTATTATTACATTGTATATGAATTATTATTACATTGTATTGTTCAGACAATAATAACAAGGAAAAATCTGCACAGGTTTGATACAAATGCAATTTCTTTTTCCAAATATATTTGGTTCATGGTGAGTTGGTTGCGCAGATCCAGACCCCTTGGGCACAGAGGGCCAACTGTAACTGACAGAGCGAGTTGGCAGAAAGGAAATAAGGGTGCAGAAGAACTGGGTGCAACTGTCAATCAACTTTGGTTTAACTAACATTTACAGACTGTTCAACCCAGAAAAATATTTGGTATATTTGGTATATAAAAGTTCATGGTATATTCACCAAGATCCAACAGATTGTGGTCATATAAATCTTTTTATCAAAAAAAAATTTTTTTTAGTTGTAGGTGGACACAAACCCTTTTTTAAAAATTTTATTTTAATGTGGTGCTGAGGATCAAACCCAGTGCCTCACGCATACTAGGCTAGTGCTCTTCCTCTGAGCCACAACCCCAGCCCCATATAACAGCTTTTAACAAATTTTAAAAGTTGAAGTTACAGAAAATAAATGATTAAAAGTAAATAATCAGTAGCAGAAAGGTAATTGGAAAACGCCCAACTATTTGGAAATCAAGCAACACATTTCAGAATAATACGTAGGTAGAAGAGTAAGTCACAGGAAAATTTCAAAATATTTTAAATTCAATAAAAATAAAAACAACATGTCAAAATCCGTGGGCTGCTGATAAATGAGTGCTTCTGGAAGAATTTACAGCATTCCATGTTTCTACCAGAAAATAATAAAGATCTCGTGTCATTTATCTAAGCCTTCGTGTTTATAAATTTTAAAATGAAAAGCAAAGTACCTAGAGGTAAATTCCTTCTCTGGAAGCAGGTTAAAGAGAATAAATCAATGCAACGGACGGACAACAGAAGCCTAATAGAGAGAAAAAAATCAATAGACTTGATAAGCCTCTGGTAAGAGTGGGTAAGACAAAAAAAGACAGGGGTTGAGAAGTAAGAATGAGGTTGCGGCCTCAGGACCACAGCCAGGCACAGGTCCACCAAGGACGCCACCACCAACGCTGGGCCCCCAATCCAACCGCTCAGATGAAACGGACGAAGCCTTCCAAAGAGCACTAACTGCCAAAACGCATTTAAAAAGAAACAGATGGCCTAAAGAGTTCTGTATCCATAAAATAAATTGAACATATAGTTAAAACCCTGTCAGCAATGAAAACGAGGCCTCCATGACGGCACTGGTGAATTCTACCAAAACATCAATGAAAGAAATGTGAATTCTACACAGTCTTCCAAAGTGTACCTCTTGCAAAGACCTGATTGCTTCTCTACCAAAGCCAAAGGCGTTTTCCAAAAGAAATTGCAGACAAATTTCCTTCACGAACATAGACAGAAAAGTCATCAATTATTCCAGCAAATTAGATTCAGCAACATACAAAAATGACAACACATCACAACCCCATGGTTCCAAGAACGCAACCTGGTGAGACATTCAGCGTCACCCCTAATCCCCCCAACGGGGAGACAACCAGGCGTTACCCAGCTGAGAGCAGACCATGAGGCGCGGGATACCCCTCCTCGGAGTCCAGGCCGAGGCAGGACACGGCCAACACTACAGCAGCTGGACGTCGGCACGCGAGCCACACTGCGTCCACATAGGGAGCCAGCCTCGGAGGCTGCCTGCACTCAGCCCCCCATGTGGCATCTTTCAGAGACACAACCACGGGGACAGAGGACAAGCCGGGGTCACGAGGACTGGAGGAGGACGTGGGGAACCTCTGAGGGGGATGGCCTTGCTCTGTGTCTTGGCTATGGTCCTGGCAGGGTGATCTCCGCGACTGTAGGAATTTACATTCCTGGATACGGTGTGTGCTCTGCCTGGCCACATCCTCCCTGGGGCTATCTTCTGTGCCACCTTTTGTGCCTTGGATAACAGCTGTGTTTGCTGGAGGGCAGCAGCTACTGGCACCTCCCTGATGGTTAGTGATGGGGAGCACTTTTCATACACCTGTTGGCCGTCTGTATCTCTTCCTTTGACAAATGTCTGTTTAAGTCTGTTGCCCCCCTTTTTTTATTTTTATTTTTTTTTTAGTCGTAGTTGGACACAATACCTTTATTTTATTAATTTTTATGTGGTGCCGAGGATCAAACCTGGTCCCTCCCACGAGCTGGGCAAGCGCTCTGCCACTGAGCCACAGCCCAGGCCCCTGTTGCCCATTTTTTAATCAAGTTGTTTGTTTGCTTTTTGTTTCAGTTCCTACAGTAAAACCAAAACCCTGGAATTCCAACATCATCCAGTGAAGAGCTGCATCCCCATGCCCCTCTCCTGGGCTTCTCTGTTAACTCTCCCTGAGAGGGGGACAGTGAAGTGTCAGGAGGAATGCTTCCTCCGTCTAACCCCACAGCACCTGATTAACTGGTTTGCTGTGGGTTTTAAGAGACTGTCCTGGTGAATCCACACACAGGAAGACCTGTCCCAGGGGTCCCAGGGGCCACGGTGCCCTTCACCTGTCTGGGTCTTGCTTCCAGTGTGTGCCATCCTACAGCTATGTTGGCTCCAGACCTGTGCCCTGGAGTGCGGGCCTGCCTGGCACCATGCCCCGACCAGGCTCCCCCTACCCCGCCCTCTCCCTGGGTCCTCCTCCCCCATCCTCCCCCTGGTGCTCTCTCCCCCTCCCCCTGGCACCCTCCCCTGGCGCCCTCCCCCCCACCCTCCCCCTGGCACCCTCCCCTGTGCCCCTGAGACAGTACCTGAAGTTCAGGAAGGCACAGTACAGGAAGACGCGGTTGCTGGCATTGGTGGCATCAATGTGCTGCTTATGAGTCTGAAATGAAGGAAAAGGGACATGCATATGACATGGGGGCAGAGGAGATAGCCCCACAGCCAAGCTTCAGGGTGGGGCAGAGCTCAGCCACTGACTCTCCACCTGCTGCCCTGAGGTGGTGAGAGTGGCCAGGTGCCCGTCCCGTCCCATGCCACCCTCTGCCCACACCAGCCCAAGCTGCAGTTCCCCTGGGCAGGCTGGGACCTCCCTGGCCTGCTCTTCCCCGAGTCCGCCTCGCCTCCACACCAGGCCTCAAGCAAGTATTGCCACCCATTTCCTGTGCCCACTCCTCTCATTTCCTCTTCACAGTAGTGGTCCCATGTGGCACGTTACAGTCATCCATTTGGTTGTTGTCCCCCCAGCATGTGCATGGGATGGGAACAGAGTCTGTTCTCACTCTCTGCCCATGAGCTGGAGAGCCTGGCATACAGCAGGCGCCTACTAAACATTTACTGGGTGAATGGACAAAGGAAGAAGTGGCCAGAGGGATGGGACCCCTTGTTCTGGGGTGCGTGTCCTCTCTTGGACACCCCTGGGGACAGCTCAGGGTGCTGTATAGCAGCCTGGCCCTCATAGATGTAAGTTCATCCAGCAGCCATGCCAAGAGTCCAGGAGGCCAGGAGGCCAGGAGGCAAGGAGGCAAGGAGGCCAGGAGGCCAGGAGGCCGGGGAAAGCTTGCTCTGGGAAAGCCAGGCTGCTCGTAGGTGTCTGGCTCCAGGGACACATGGCATCAGGTTGAGTCCCAATCAAGTCGCACCTCTCCTTTGGTTGTGGCAGTCACTCTGCTCTCTGACCCCAAGTGCCGCCAATGGTGAGCCTTCCTGCTTCCCGAGACCCTTCTCTCCTGCAGACTGATCAGCCACTGCATCCCAAGTGAACTGGGCAGAGGGGTATCTTCTCCCTCACAGGTGCATGGTAATCTAACCATCTGGTGGTCAGGAGTGCGCAGCAGGATGGACGGCCCCTCTAGGCAGCACCTTCAAACCTGCTGCGAAGCCAGAGGCTGGTTCACGGTCCCCTTCAGAAGTCTGCCCGGCAGCTCCGGGCAGCACCAGGTGGTGCAGGCCCTGCTCCCACTGATGCTCTGGCAAAGGGGAACCCTCACTCCTCTTGCTTCCCCCCTGCATCCTGGGGTTCTTTCAATAGATGACAGAGCCTCTTAAAACTGCCCGTACCTGGGGACTCTGCAGGCCTCAGCCAGAACATTCCTCCCTAGACGGAGGCTTGGCCCACCCAAGTTCTCTTCACCTTCTCAGATGGGCACCTTCCACCCAGCCCACCCTCCTCCCAGCTCCCTGTGACCTCCCATAGCATCAACCCTGTCCTGGGCCTGTACCTTATCTGTCCCTAGGTCTGTGGTCTGCCACCCTCCACTACAACAAGTGTCCAGGGCAGGGACCGTTTCCAAAAGACCCCACACTAGAGGGACATCCAGAAAAGCATGCCGCATGAATTGCTGTGGAAATCAAGCTCATGGGCAGGGTAACTGACCTCTGAGGGACGTCCATCTGCACCATGCTAACCGTGTGCCTCTCTGCAGAGGACCAAGGGGTCAGAGGCACACAGCTGTGCTTCCTGCTGCTCACCCTTCTCAGAGAAACCAATCCCTGAGTCCTGCGAAATGGCTCTGCTGACCCTCCCACCAAGAAACTGGGCAGCGCAAGCCTGCAGGCTTCACAGGTCAAGGGGAACCTAAAAGGTCAAGCCTTCCTTTACCCTGACCACGTGGCTTTCTGCAAGAGGCACCTGACCCCTCTGAAGGCCACCTAGGAACCACCCAGCTCCTCCTCCTGACTTGGAGGAGGTGGCTTCGGAGCACGGTTCTGACCCTGGCCACCCATTCTGTCCTGGGAACATGGAATTGCATGTGCTAGGAGCTCTGGGCTGGGCCAGCCACCGGGGCTCACGGGCCCTTAGCTGACGCCAAACATTGAAGAGCCAGGGACAGACTGTCCTCTGCCTTCCAGGGCCACACATGGTGAGCTCCACACTCAGGCAGAAGAGCCTGTGTCCAGCAGCACCCCAGCCACAGGGAGATGGGTCCCATCCCACAGAGTGGGAGACATGAGCGAAACCTGGAGAGGCCACAGCCTGGACTCGAGAGCAGCATGAGGCCCCTGCACAGCGGCCCCAGACCCGAATCTCCAAGAACCCACGTAACAAGGGAGCTCTCTGTGTGACTTGGGCCATCTAGAAGGGCTTAAAGCAAGCGGGTGGCTGGAGGAAGCCAAACCTGACCTCCCTCTTCTCCTGTGGGGCTCAGCCCTCGGAGCAGCCTGTTCCCATAAACGGGGAGGCCTCTGAAGTCCTGCGCCCCACTCCGGAGTGCGGTCACCCTTCAAAGGAGGGCCACACCTGCCAGCCGGCAAGCAGTGCGTGTGGTCTGAGGGGGCAGGCGGCCTTCCCTCGGGTCTGGGCCAAGACCCCAGCATGGAGCAGAATGGCCCTTGCCCTCTGGTCAGCCATTCCATCCCAGGCCCAGGAGCTGGGGAACTGACCACCTCCAATGTGTCCAGCTGAGCAGAGGCTCTCAGATAGTCTCCACAAAAGGAGGCCTGGGGCTCCCAGCAGATTGGGGCAGCACGTTTTGACATAGGGGGACTCAGCTGTGGTGCCAGGGAAGAACAGGGGTGCGCTGGTCTTTACCCACATTTCATTTCACAGAGAAAGGCCAGGGGCACCGACAGCACATCATCTCCGAACGCCTGGGCGAGGGAAAAGACCATTCCCACTGGTCACCCTAGCTGGCTGGGCCACCAGACAGGAAAACTCAGCTCCCAGAACACAGAGTCATGGGGACCCCCACCCCCAATTGCAGGCAGCCACGTGTTTCAGGAGCAGAGAGCAGCAGAAGAGAAGCCCCCTATGTGCTGGACCCACAGGAACAGAAATGCTTGCAGAGGGTAGCTCCTGCCTCAGGGCTGAGGTCAGCAAGGGGAGCAAGGCCCTGATGCCCCCAGGAGCTCCACTTTGCAGTCTGCTGCTGGGCTGCTCCTGGCCCAGTCCTACCAGGGTCAAGGCCATGTTCCCCCTTGTTCTTTTGTCATGAAATCAACCTAAGGGTTTAAATACAAAGACCCAATTGTTCTTTTGCTTATTTGGGGACAACTAATCTCTGAGCATCCCTGGGACAACTCACAGAGCAGGCAGAAGGAGCACTCACACCAGTGTCTTTAAATTTTAAGATAAAGAGTTGCTGAGTCTTCAGGGGTTGCAGACCTGGCAATATTGTGTTAAACTGGGTGCAGAGCCAGATGCCAGGGCCACCAAGTGACCCAACCCTCACTCAGAGAGTCCCAGGACCCCAGTGTCCTGGGGGCCACGCCCCTCCCATCCAAACCTCCCCACAACGCTGTGAGGCGAGAGAGGCCAAACTCCCCTCATCTAATGCATCTTCGGAAGCCCAGACCCTCCGCAGGCCCCGCTGCCCGGTCTCCCCTGGGGTGTGCAGCCTCAGCCCCAGAAAGCAGCTCTCCTGGGGCAGAGCAGACTGCAGCGCATCCCGCGTCTCTGGGCCCCACTGGCACCACCAGCCCCTCCGCCTCCCTGGCTCTGTCTCCATGGGATTCTGCCACCTGCCCGGGCATGAGAGTGGCTGATCTGGTGGCTTTGGGAATGTGGTCATGGTATTTAGGGCCTGGTGGACCTCCCCAAACCTCCCCTAGTTGGATGGTGTGCACAGGGACCTGAAGCAGGACGGAGGCCAGCTTGGGTCTCCACCAGGAGGGCAGCCACTGCTCAGAGGCTGGACTGAGGGACCCAGGGAGGCTCAGCAGGACGGGACCTGCCTCTTGGGGCTCCAGAAGCCCCCATGGTGCCTAACTGACATTTACATCCTGTTCCCACCAACAGAAGCAGCTTTTCTCTGGTGGGTGACGTGCCCAGCTGAGAGAGCCCAGACCCGAATCTTCAGCATACAGCCCTGCCCTGTGTGCTCCACACCCTGCCCTGCCGTTCCCAAGCCTTCTGACCCTGGCACAGGCAACACCATATCCTGGCCTCATGTCCCAAATGGGCTTGCCTACGGTCTTGCCATACAGCCAAAGGTCCTGGTCCTGGCTCCGTGGCCCCAAGTCCATCAGCACACCCAGTAACAGATCCTGACCAAATAGCTTTGAGTGGGGTCTCTTGCTGGGCGCTCTGTCCACCTGGCTCACCCAGCACTGCAACTCCCAGTCTGCTGGACACCCAAGTCAGGCCACTTTGTCCCTCTGCTCAGCCACTCTGGCAGTGTCCACCATACTCAGGGGAGAGCCGAAGCTTTCGGAGCTGCCCCAGGCCTGAGAGGACCTGAGGGCCTCTGTGACCTGCTTCCTGTGCCCTCCAGCCCCCGACCACACCTCATGCACACAGGTCGGTGCTTCTCCCTTCGGCCCCTGTGCTCCACCCTCATCCTCCCGGGTTCCTGCAGGGCCCCCCACGGCATCCTCCTGCTTCCCCACTGTGCCCATCCCCTGGCCTCCCAGGCCCTGTCCCTGTTAAGGGGCAGTGTGGCAGGGATGTGGCTTCTCATGCTCTGTCCTCAGTGACAGGCGTGCAGCAGGAGGTGCATGGCACCAGTCAGAGACCTCGGGAGGAAGGACCAGGAGCCAGGGGTGAGGCCCAGGTGCTGGGAGCCAGCAGGTCTGTCACCCTCACATGCAGCTGTCCTTCACAAAGCCACCCATGTGGTGCAGAGACCAGTCAACCAAAGCCCGGGTGTCACTTAAGAATGGCAAAATCACCCAGAAGATGATTCACGATATCAAGGTGGACAGACGCTAGGTTCTGTGAGAGCCACGGAAGATGTGACCACAAAGGCCTTCTGACTGACCGCACAGGGCAGGGGACAGAGACCCAGAGAGAGATGATGGATGGATGGTAGATCCTATGAGAGGTAGAGAGACAGATGATAGGTGACAGATGGGTGACAGGTGGATTGATAGATGACAAATATATAAATGGACAGCTGACAGATGACGACCCATGACAGGTGGATTGCTAGGTGATGGGGGAGAAGC